AAAAGTTACCGGGAAGGTCATTCCAGCCCTAAGAATTGCGTTTATGTAAGGAATTTTCCGTTTGATGTGTCAAAAATTGAAGTGCAGAAGTTCTTTTCAAGATTTGATATTGACGAAGATGATATTTACTTGCTCTATGATGAAAAAGGAGTTGGACTGGGAGAAGCACTAGTGAAGTTTAAATCTGAAGAACAAGCTATGAAAGCAGAAAATTTAAACCGCCAAACATTTTTGGGAACAGAAGTGTTAATAAGACTTATATCTCAAGATCAGATGCAGAAATTTGGTGTCGCTGCATCATTATCTGCACCAAATGAAATGCATGGTCATTCACATCCGTATGACAGAGGTGACCTCTCCCGTCCAGTTGGTTCACCATCTGGGCCACCACAAGGGCCACCCATGCATTCTTTTGGTCCCCCTGGGAACTTCAGGCATCATTCTGAATTCAGACATCCCCCTGAGGACTTCATGTGCCCTCCTAAGGATTTTAGGGGTCCACCACCCCTCATGGATTTTGGTGGTGACAGTGAACCTTTTGGCAGAATGGAGTTTGGGAATAATAAAATGGGAAATTTTCCGGAAGGAAGATTTATGCCAGATCCAAATTTCAGTGGTGGTTCTGAACGTGTTGTTCCTATTCTGTTGAAAAATTTACCTTTTAAGGCTACTCCTAATGAGATTCTGGATTTTTTCTATGGCTATAGAGTGATACCGGAGTCAGTTTCTGTGCAGTACAATGAACAAGGATTACCTTCTGGTGATGCCATTGTTGCTATGACAAACTATGAGGAAGCTATGGCTGCTATTAATGAACTGAATGACAGGCCCATTGGTCCACGGAAAGTTAAGTTGAGTTTGCTGTAAAGGAGGAAAAGATGCTCTAATAACACATTCTAGGTTTGACAGTATTGACAGTTATTTTAACTTTTAATTACTGGAAGATGCAAAACAGTTTCCATCAACGGTTGTAAATAATACCCGGTTCAGTTGTTTAGCTCTTGGTTGAAATACCTGTAGGACATTGAATGTCTTACATGAAGGTATAAAAGGATGGAGTTGTAATGCTTTGGGTTTTTTTTTTTTTAAGATTAATTCCAATCTTATGTCTTTGCATCAAATAAAAACGTAAGTGCTGGTTGACTAACCACACAAACGGTTCAAATAGAAGATTTTCAGTGCTACCTGCATTAGTAAATGACACTTCTTACTAAGGTTAGCTTAATAAAATTTTAATTTTTTTTCCGGTTTATTTTTGTGTAAACCTTTCAGGTTTTATTCGGTTTCATATGTTTGCAGGCATTCCTGTTTAAGAGCTTGCTGTTCTCATTAGCTGGCTTTGCAATTTTTTTAAATAAAAAAGAAATTGCCATTTAAATGTGTGTCTTATATTTAAAACTTGTACAGTTAATGATCTCAGTTATTATGTTCAGCAGATCTGGGTCTTGGTGAGAATGGAGAATGATGCTGGCTGCTTTGTCTGGAAAGATTGAACTGGTAGTTTGTCAACATAGCAAAGGATGGGTAGTTGACAGAGCTTGCAGAGGCTGTATCCATCAGTTAGGCTTTTTTCTCACTCACTATAGTACCTTGAGGCAGAAAATGAGTGTTGGAATTAGATCAAGAATTCTGACTGGAGTGGTTTTGTTTTATCTTCACATGCTGCGTAACATGAATACTAACTGGCTAATGATGTCTGGATGCATTCCAGGTCAATCTGAGATTAGTTTTAACTAACATCTCTCACTGGCAACCAAGCTGACAAGCGTTATTTTCTTATGTAATAAAATAAATGCTTATGTCAGCATTTAGAACGTGTTGTTTCCATTGGTTTGTTACCAGCATGTTTAAATTTTAGGAAGAAATAAAAGCTTGGGAAAGCTGTGTCTTCAAAATTAAGGCTTAGTGGGAAACTTTGATTGCATGTGCAAGGACTTTCGTTGACCTTACAGCTGTGCAAGGTAGTATCTGTAGTACTAAAGGATTAAGGCTCAGTCCCCTCAAACTGAGACAACAAAGTTGCAACTTGGCAGTGAAAACTTCTAACCTTTGCTTGTTCAATAAACAGAATTCCTAAATTCCTGACATAGGGAGGTCTCTATTCCCATTCACTCCTCAGAGCAAGTTTTGGCTTATCTGGCCTTGTCTATTGCATCTTTAATAGCTTTAAGGACAGAGCTGTCCAGGCAGCCTTCCTAGTGAATGATCCCCCCTCACTGGTGGTCAAACCTTTACTACTTTTTGTGAAGTCATCCTAGTGATTGCAGGACTTCCATGACAACTGTTTCATACAAGAAAATAGAAAGAATGGGATTTTTTGTTGTGTAATATTTAAAAAGTTAGCATAGCTTTATTTCTTCTGCATATTATTTATTCTGTGTTTTAAGTGCCAAGAAACAAACCTCTCTGAATGGTAATGCAAGGTCTGTAAATGTAGATTCCTCTGAGCAAAGAAATATAATGGCCAAGTTTTCAACTTTGAACACATACTGATTTTTGCTTTCTGCTAGGAATTAGCTTCAGAATCATATAGTTTTGAATCCTCCTCTGAACTTAAAAGGAATTAAAACCCAACAATTTTGTGCTTTATTTAATAGCTACTTTAAAAGAGATCAAGGAGCCAGAAGATGTTGCAGGAAAAATAAAGACATGAGATTTCTCAAAATAAACTTCCCTGACCATCATGTTGAAAACTTCATTGTGACTATTTTTGTAAGTTAGCATCTTTACAACTAAGCTGTGTTGAAAATGTGAATACAACTAACTTCTCCAGTTAATCAGTTTTAGATGATTTGTTGATTTTAAAGTGCTTCTAGTTACTACACAACAGGAGATTTTGAACTTGGAGGTTGGAAAGGTAAGAGTTTAGGAGGTTGCTTTGCCAGTGAAATGTGAGATTATCTTTAAGAAAAAAACTGTCTGTTTTCAGAAAAGGTTAAGAGTAAGTGCTTATAAGATACCATTAGCTTTTCAGATGGTAAACCTTTCCCCCCAGTGAACATATAAAAAGTGTCATAAAGCTTGTAATGGCAGATGTCATAATTAAGGCATTACAAAATGGTCTTTTGTTTGCCCTGTGGCTAATTTGTATTTAATTTAAAGCCAGATTAGAGTTTATGACTACTTTAGGTTAATCTGAAATGTCTGATTGATAGACCAAAAAAAATGACTTTCTCACAGTCTGTAAAGAGCTGCATCTCGAAGTACATACAGATGCACCGAAGGAGAGGAAACAGTGCATCAGCTAAATAACAAGGTTAGTAGGACAGCTGGTGCTTGGTTTATAGCTGTTGCCTAGTTGGTGTTTTGGGTTGTGTGTGTCCATCTGCCTCTCCAGACTGGGCATTATATTCTGATTCTGCCTGAAGAGATGGTTCAGGTGCATGGTGTGATGACAGCATTTCCTGGTAACAGGGTTCTGTGACATCACATGTTTAGTGGTTTGGAGGCACTGTATTTCCAGTACAAAGGACAAATCAGAGACTGCCTATAATTACATGGCTTGAAATCCTGTGCTTCCTTTTTAAGTACCATTGATACAGGAAGGAGTAATAAATGAAATGCTACATTTGGTGATGCTTATATAAAACATGGAAAGTTTCTTTACTTATGTCTTCTCTGAAGTTGCTTTTGCTACCGTTGTCCAAAAATTCTGATGTAAAAGAGAACAGTTTCTGTTGTCAAAAACTAGAAATAGTGATCACCTACGAAAGCAGCTTGAGGCATCTATTAGGGAAAGTCGAACAGGACAGTCTGATGAGCACCCTTAATCCCTAAGGAATGTGCCAGTGTGTTCAACAGACAGGCAAAACAGTCTAGGCAAGAATGGTTGTGAGTTTGCATCATCTAGGGCCAGTGATAAAAAATACAAATGAGTGAATGGAGTAACTGCAAGTTACCACGAGAAAGTTCTTTGCAGAAGGATCTTTAGGTAATATTTAATTCTTTACTAACATCCTAAATTGTTATTCTGGCTTCTACTTCTGGTGAAGTATTTTAGTCAGGGACTTTTCATCTGTAGTTTTGAGGTCACAATTTCTGTGCAACATGCAAAGTTAAGACACCACACACGCAGGACAAAGTTGCCCAACACTATTTTTCTGGAAGTTTTTCTGTGGTTCCTGGAGTTGACTTTTTTGTGATGTAGGAAGAATGAATTTTATGCTTGTGAACTGCATAATCTTTTAGAGTGCAATTTATCTAAACAAAACTGCCTTTTTTTCAGAATTGCTTTCTCAAGGCATAGTACACAAATACTTGCTATACGAAAACCTGAAACTGTTATGAAGATAGCTATCTGTTTTGGAGATGGACTACTTCATTGTGTATGAAATGGTAAAGCGGTGATCACCAGAATTCTGATGTCATACTACTATTTATTGAAGTGTCTTAGTTGCTGAAACAGATGGGAATTAATCACATAGATACTTTTAAAAATTTTGCTCATTGGTATTTACTCCTTGCCAGCAGTAATTCAATGTCAGTAGTATGTAATGCTGGTGTAAAATTATTTTTTCAGTTTAAAATAACCCTATATTGTGAACTTTTCATTTATTTTCATCTCAATAATTTTTGGCAAAACCTGTTTTTTCACATGTCAAAACAGGTATGCATTGCATACATGTGCATCAGTGGACAAAAAGTAGCAGTATTATAAATGCACTTCCTGGCTTTTTTCTGTAACTGAAAGAAAGATTTTGTTATAATTTAAAATTATTTTCCCCGTCTCAAATTTAAATTCTTCTGCATTTTTTCTTTAGCAGATACTAAAGCTGGAGGTGAACAGTGTGGTAAATTTTCTGGCAGACAGCCAGTCACTGTTAAAAAATGAACACATTTTTTCCTCTATCCCCAAACAGAATAAGGAATTACACTCAAAATGTGTAATTTCTTCCTGTATGTTTGATGGAACCGGTAACTGAATCACGTAGCTAAACACGTGAAATTTGAACTATGTATAGCATGTCAACTAATATAACAAACATCAACTACATAAAATATCCACTAGTTTTATCATGAAGGCACTTTTATTTAAAAAGCAAAGCAGCACTGAACATAAGATACTGGGCCAGGTCCTTATTTGTGACTGTTCATTCTGTATGTGTAAAGGAATCAAAAGTCATCTGTACCTGATGAATGCCTGAGAAAAATGAAAATAAGAAAAAAAGTACACCTCACCATGCCTTCTGCCATCCAGGGTGGATAGCAAAATGAAATCTTAACAGGCGGTTGCTGCAAACAGTTTTGTAATTACCACGGTTACTTTAGCATGTATAAACCCAATTATAACAGTTACAGCTAGAGTACTTAAAAAATTCAAGAGGTGTATAGCTAGAGAGGTAATATATTGGCAAAGTAAGGACAAAACAATGTTCATAACTGTTTGAAAGCTTCGTGCAGCTTTTGGACACTGTTCATCACGTAAGTTTAAGCAAATGTGATTACAATATAACATCTATGCAAATATAATACAGGCATCTATTTAAATATTTAATTTTCTAGCTACTGAAATTGCCCACTTTCAGTGGATTTTTTTCCATTCTTTCAAACCGGTGATTTGTTGTCTGGCACTCTAGAATCAGCACTGATTCTTGCTCCTGCTGGAGTTCTAAATATATAGTCCCGGTGAAATTTTAGATCCAACATACAAAAAAAGCCTTTAGGTGAAGGGGCTTTTCCCCCCTTAATAAAAAACCCCTCTTAGAACAGCTTTGTTATCTCACTTCCTTAGTAGCATCAAATTCATCCTCCTCATCGTCCTCTTCATCATCTTCATCTTCCTCCTCGTCATCATCTTCATCTTTTCTTAGCATTCTGTGGGAAATCTGATAAAAATCCAACAAAAGGATATAAACTATGTCATTGTTTGTTTTCTGCAAACAAAAAATAATTCTCCATTGGCATTTTCAGCCTAAATGTTTGCATGGTTTTCATTTGGGGGAAGGGGGTAAGTTGTTTATTTATTAACTGTTCATAACATGCACACCACTGGAAAGGTACATGATACAGAATAAAAATACTATAATGGTTTTTAAAAGCTAAAAATATCCGTGTAGTCCTTCAGAATTATTATAGGATAGGGAAAATGGTATTTTTTACCTAATTAATGCTAAAAATCAAATCAAGATGCAAATCAGTTTTTCCATGGGTTGGCTGCTGAAGCAGCAGGCTGAAGAGGAGTATTAGGGTCTAATCTTATCTTGAAGACATCAGACCTTGTCAGTTAAAAGCTCAAAAGGATGCTGCTCTAAGCTTTTTACCTTTTTTCCCAAGAATTAATTAGACAAACTTAAGAGTCTTGATTCATAGATGAACTTCTTTCCCTGCCCATCAGTGCTTGCCTCTGGAGTGACTCCTCCTTTTGGTTTATCAAACATTAAAAACAAGTGCCAGCTGCCATGCTTTCATCTCATTTGACAGATTCTGCAGTCTGTACTTTTTTTTTAATGAGGGCTCAATCTAATTCCTATTGAAGATGGATTCTTCACAGACAATGCAAAATTTAAAATTTAAAGAAGCATACATGTTTTTTTTTCCTTTCCCCATAAGAAAGAGAACATTGAAGACAGTTATCCAAGTCATCTGGAATGCTTTTGAAAAATTTCAGGTTCAGTAGTTCTCTAAGGGCATCTGCAGCTCTAATTTTGGTTATATTTTCTGTGTCTTCTCAATGCAGTGATATAATAAAAACTTCTGCACTCAAGACAGAGCTTGCCTTTTCTTTTAAGCAGCCCCCTATTTTAAAGGTCCTTAAATGCTTATTATTAAATTGACTTCTGACGTGTTACAATTCATTCAGCCATGTATGTAATGTAAGTTTTTTGTGTGTACATAAAGCAAACTGCAGTCATTGAACTTCTGAAAGAAGAAAAATACTTAAGTCTTGTTCATGCTCACCAAGTATGTAATTTAGCTCAAAGCAAATAGTTGCTTACAAATTCCTGAACACAACAGAAAATGGAGTTAATCACTGGGTGAAGCTGGCTTAACTTGAGCTGAAATGTCTAAAGCAACAGTCTCTCATTCCATGAAAGAGGAAAAAGACAATGGCAGTGATTTGTAATTGGAGTTTAAGGAATGCTGCAGATTGAGCGTGTTAAGGTGAAATGAATTTCACTGGGACAGACTAATTTTCTAAGTTTTTTTCCTAGTTCAGAGCATCTGAAATTCTTCAGCAGAACTTGCATCATATTTCTGAGTAAAAGCTCCCCCCTTTCCTGAAACAGGAACTGTTTTTGCTTTATGGCTTTTTTCTGCTCACTACTCAAATACCTCTGACCATGCAGCAATTAACTAAATAGTATATTAAATATTATCACTGGTGGTGGTAAGATGGCTATCCTTAAGAACCAAACTGTATCAGGGAAGGAAGTTGAGAAAAGAAATTATGCAGTATAAATCCAAGTTACTGTGCCAAAGAACTAAAACATACCAATATTGAAATTTAGTTTTTCAGAACTTAATGCAAAAAAAGAATATGATAATTTTTTGACCATAAATAATTTTATGTAAAAATTAATTCTACGAGTTGCATGCAGGTGATGACAGTCCTTGCTTAAGCAGTTCAGCTCCATCTTTCACTGCAGAAACATGGCAATTCTGTCCACGTCTTAGTGCTGGAACATTTGGATGCAAACATTTTCAATAATGGTTAAAATGATACTTTGCTGTCCTACAGAGTGTCAGTGCAAAAGTTTGTTATATTTAACGGATGTAGATAAAACTTGTGTAGTTAAATTTGATTTAAAATATCTGGAAAAGGTCCTTCTGTTTTGCTACAGTTCTAAAATATAAGCTATATCAACCTGAATTGGTAGACCAAAATGTTGAGGATGAATTGTCAAGCGTTGTAAAATGAAGGACATAGCTCTTTGTGAGAAAATGAATCAAACTCAAGGAGTACTTTACATTTTTAACATACAGATAATACAGAAAGTTAGTCCACAGAGGCAGAAATAAATTCAAGGATGGTGTGTGTTAAATCCTCTGAAAAGACCTGAACTGTGTTACTGGCACACTTTATTCCATCTGGTATGCAGTGACTTCTTACACTGTCCCCCACCTACACGTTAGTGTTTGTGCGTGTCTGTCCTCCCCTGCCCCACAGATTTGGGCTGTGTGATTCTGTGAACTGCTTCCCACATCACTTATACTGCTTTACAATGGAAATTGCAAAGTACTACATTACAGACAGTGAAGGATTGGATTACTGTGCAGCAGCAAACTAGATGTGTGAAAAATTTCATAGTGAAAGATTCACAAAAAAGATAAAACAAGTCACCTGCAGGTTTTTCTGAATACAGTTTTTTTTTTTTTCTTAAGACTTGTTTGGTGGTTCCAAAGATTAGGCCTCAGTGTAATTCAGCACCATGCTATTTACAGAATCAGAAAGGTCTGCCCTTTCTTCACTGACCTATGGTGACTGCATTAGTTGGGTGTTCCACCCCTTTTTTCTGCCATATGATCCTCCTTTGCAGACACTGCACAGCCAAGTAAGATGACCTTATTTTGAATTGCATTGCAGTTTCCCTCTAGGTCTAGATGACTTCCTGTTGTTTTCAGGTAAGTTAGAGGTTATGAGAAGACTAACACCCAAAGTTAAAATTAATAGCAGTCTAGGAAATGAGAAAGGTTAACCTGCAAGTTAGAATGGAATTCCACTCCACCTCTGGGAGAAATCACAGTGTACGTACTCTCAGTATTCTTGTTTTGTGTTTTTTCTCGTATTTTCTGAAGTAGCTTGAATTTGAAATTTGCTTGAGTGATAAAGAGGATTGGCAAGTTAGTCAGAGTAGGACTTCATGCACTGAATCACTAGGTTGTATCTCTTCAGATGACAAAATTCATACTTTCAACAGAACAGCTCAACTGTAATAATTGATCTGTTCTGTGTTGAGAGCAGAGAAGGCGTAAAGTGTGTACAAAGTCAAGAAAAGTTTTCCTAACTACAGTATCAATGCATGAGTCTATTCAAAGAAGAAAGGTTTTAAATGCATTTTAAACGTGGCTTTGTCTGTAACTGAAACACTGGTAAGAATCATTGCAGTTACAGAATTACAATTGCAATGAATTAAAAATAATTCATTTTGCAATGTCTGCAAGTTTACTGCTGTAAACAAGTGGCATAGATATTTGCAAGGTAGCTGGTCCAAAAAAGAGTGACACTGTCTTCAACTGTTTCACTCATTTTTACCATCCTTTTCCTCACCTGCTGTGAATTTTCAGAGTATAAAAGGAGAGGACTGTAGGTCATGAGTTTGCTCTGCTGCTAGAAGGTATCACTAGTCTGGATTAGGATGTGGTAGAGAGGCCACACTCTAGAATCTGAATACTAAAAGTATGCAAATATTTAGAGAATGTCACTACTCTTTCAAATAATCTCCTAGATCTCTTCTCTGCAAGATGCCACAGTTTGCTGATGGAAGACCAAGTATTGCTGGAAATGGCATTTGTCAAAATTAAGCAACACAGCTTTAAAAGTTGAGGGGTTTTCCCCTTCAATGATAAAGCTGCATTATCAAGAGCCTATTATGACATTTATGCCATTTAAAGTTTCTTTACATTTCTGATGGTCCTGAACTGAGTGAAGACAGTGGATCCATGTGCATTAACTAAAAGATTATCTTAAGTAGATCTTTCATATACTGATTTAGTATGCAATGTTTTTCTTACCTGTGCTGTTCTCAGTGAAGATTTTGAGGAGCCAGTTCTTTGCAAGGGGGACTTGGAATTTGCACGAACTATGTCTAAGCGAGACTGATAGTCTGGTGGATAGAGTGAGCTCCGAAAAACCTGATCAAGTGGAGAAAGCAGTCACTTAGATGCTTGCAAGCCAAGAATTACTGAGACTGAAGCTTGCAGAAATGCAGCATTGGAGAATAAAACTTGATCTAGAGATGTGCATCAACTGTAGTTTGGATTGATCAGTTTTAGGTGAAAAAATGTCCTTGCTTAACCTGAGACACATCAACATACTGATGTGGTCAAGGTAAACATTGTTCAGAGCTTTGGGGGCACTTACACAGGGAAAACTGCAATGGTTTCCCACCACCATATGTAGCTGAATTTCAGGCTAAGCTAGAAGTGTGAACCCCAGCAACTCCTTCAGGCTCTCCATTTCTTGCGAAGATGAACTCAAATGCCTTCACAAGCAAATCCCTACTATCAGACACAACTGCATCAAAAAATGTTACCAAATTGTACAGAAGATGCACAACTTAAGAAAAATTTGGGAAACCTCCTAGAATGCAGGGGAGACCACAACATCTATTATATTTTCAAGTTATTTCAATAACCAATACAGCTATTTGTGCAAGACTTGAAGTCAAGAAGACGGTATATTATGGTCAGTATTTTTATGAAAAGTAAATAATAGTCCAATTAAGAGAAAATTTAAAATGAGATTAAAAATTTGGTTGTGAAAGACAAAGTACTGACTTTAAGGAGATTTCTGAATTGGTGCCATGTGACGTTATAATTGTGAAACTAAAATAGAACAAAATTGCCATGGCATAGTTTAAAGGAAGTAAAATTTCCAAGTAGTCTCAAATATGACTGTCACTGAAGACTCATGGTTTTTTAAGTCTTGTGCTAACTTGGTTCTGAGCTATGTCATAGACAGAATAAAATTATAACTGGTAGGATTTACAAAAACAGACTGAAAATGATCCAAATATTTTGACAAACCAAACATACACACACAACACACACTTCCATGGTATTAAGTTTAAAGACCCAACATCCAGAAGAACTGCAAGAATGAATAAAGGCCTGAAAAGCCTATCTTGGGAAAGAGAGACTATAATTCAGAAAGAAAGGAAAGGGTGACTTGAAGCTGGTTACTGCCACAAGGCAAAAAACCCACTCTAGTAAGTAACAAATGTCTCTTAATTCTAGAACAGCCTAATAAAAATGATTAAAAGATGAAAACAAACAAAATTCAGGTTAGAGGGAGATCTGTAATATAGTAGTTAGTCTTTACATCATGTTATCACAGCAGTAGAAGGTTTTTTTCTATGTGCATCTTTAGAGCAAGACTCACTGCAGAAGTGTTCTTTAAAAACTGTTTTATGTTTACCTGAGCTTGAAGTTGCAGGTAATTTTGTGAGTGTCTGTTCTTTGTTTTGTGGGAAAGATCAGATTGCCACTGCAGTTGCTCTCTGTGTTCTCTGAGATTACAAACCTGCATGCTCTTGCTGAAGAAGTGCAAAAAAAAAGCCTGATATACATGAGTTTCTTCTGGGAACCTGAAATATTTGTTGCATTTTTCTGTGTGGGACATGTGTAGCCCAATTGTGAAAACTGTTTTTATATAGGAAGTAAACAGAAAAGCAAATCTCAATCACTCTTACCTCCAAATCTTCATTTTCATCAATATTTTGGATATTCTGATAGGCAGCAGTATATATCTCTAAAGCTTTCCCATGGAACAACATTTCAATAGTTATAAATTCAGAAAATATGTTCTGAAAGCAAATGAAAAGAAAGGTTTTCTTAATGCAAAAATTACTGTGTTTGTATTCTGTATACTGTATTCTGTGTTTGGTATTTATATGATATAAATAACTGCATGATACTTAGTACTTTTAAATAGTCAGATTGAATGAATCTAAATGAACTTTAGACATTAAACATAAATTCTGGCTGGGCTATCATTTATGCAATTACTATTTAATAATAAATTCTGAATAAATACTTCAAAAGTAAAGAGGAAATGTATTAGGAATAACACATCTTACTGAAAAGCCACTTGATAATCTCCAATATGCATTCCCAAGATATTGTCAGTCAGAATTTTTGCTGTTTTGAAGACTGTCTTTTATAGCAGATTGAGGATAAGTTATCGTAGATTCTATATCTATAATTTACAAATCTGTGAAATATTCATGAATACCACAAGATTTGCATTTCAGTGAATACCAGAATGTTGCTAATCTTGCCTCCAACAAACTATAGTGATTTTATTATGCAAGATGAAATGTGAGCACACATACTTTGATGTCCCTTATCTTCTGTTTCTCAAAATTATCAATGGTTTCCTCTAAGTGCCGAGTTGTTCGAGTAGCATCCATTGTTGCTCTCTGCAGTTCATTTTCAGCCTGGTAAAGTAACACAAAGGTGAAATTAGTCTTGCATTTGATACAAAGCTATTTGCTGTAATTGCCATTATTAAGTCTAAGTTTGCAAAACAATACATGTCTGTGTTACAGTATTTAAATCTGCAGCTTAATGAACATATAAAGATGCCTTCTACACTGTTGTGACTTTGATGTGAAACATGAAAAATGACCAGCTGCAGCCGGTCAGGAAAGTCTCTCTGCCTTGATTCATTTTCTGTAATAATCATGGGACAGTTTTATGGAGCCAGTCCTGACATCCCACTGACAGTACAGTTACTGGGTTTAGGTACTTAACCCAGAGTGGTGGGAGAGCAGGAAAGATCACCCCTTGTTTTCTACTGCAGATCAACCTGGTGGGTCCAGAAAGATTCTTTTCCAGTATAGTGTGCTGAACCTCATCTTAGTACATTTTTACAAATTATTTAAATAGACAATTATAGCAGCAGTTGGAACTAATGTACTTATCCTGTAAATATCTCAATCTTGCAGGCTAGAGTTGTTGTAGTTTTTAGATTCAAATGCATTTCAGGTATTTTATGCTTTTAATATTTTTGTATTATTAAAATATCTGATAAAAAACATCTTCAACGAGGCACTGGGAAGGGGACACATCAACCATTTTTTAACACATAAGTACACAGTTTTTCTTATTTTACTTACTACAAAAAACATTTTAAATAGCTATTTTAATTAGATATAATTATAAACTTTATAGAAAGTTCACTACTATTTAATGAAAGATACTGAAACTATTCTGATTAAGTCAAGTCTGAGAACTGTGTAGTATTACCAATTAACAATGTAAGAGCTTGCACTTGAAATCTACAAGATTTGGCTTGAAACTTCTGTTATTTTCCATACAGAACTGGTCAAACATCGTACACTAGTGATACTTACAGGCTCAGTCAGTATGTATCGTCACAAATCTGTTTTGTCATGAGATTTGAAAGTACTATATGGATCAAGTATTGCATCCTGTGATCAGGTTGTCAGGTTCTTCCCATTTCTACAAAACTGCAACTTGAGATGATTTTTTTTAATGGAAAAAGACACCACAGGTCCAGTTCCTGTGATCTAGCTTTTAGTGTTACAACTTAAGGAATAAGGCATGCTCTATTCACTTATTTGATTGTAATCTGCTAACCTTATTTTAGAGGATTAGCAATTTGAAACAACCTCCTTTCAAAAACAGCCTAAAATCATAAGACACAATTCTGCCATTACGGGGCAAACAATTGATCATGATCTTTAGTAGTACATAAGGTCACATGTTATCTCTCTTTCTTGATTTTGCCCAAATCACAGGAGGGAAGAAAAGACATTTGGTGTATTTTCAATTACTTCAATCAGTCAGTCTGTAAGTGATGGCAGCTATTATGCATATGCAGTCTTTACACATACAAATACAGTCTATTATTTCTATGGTAATCAAATACACCTCCTCAATAAATCTTAGATTGAACATAATTTGTGCACATATGCTTTGGCAGAGGAATTGTGGTTGTTTTAGAGTGAAGTGTCCCAAGTCGCAGAGCCTGCATAGTTTGGACAACAGCAGTTTGGTATTTTCTGAACACTCACCTGTGACTGGAAATATTAGTAAAGGAAAAAATGGCAATGTAACAACCAATATTCAGGGACATGTTCATTTTCACTTCTGCTTTTAATATACTGTGAACTATTTATCTTAGTTATTTCAAAACATCTGTATATTTAATACTATTATTATGTTGTCTGAAGCCTCTGGCTGTAAGATGTAAAATCTGTTAGAGCTTTGCTAGAATTCAAGTATCCAGGCCAAAACATTTCAGGACAGCTGTCTGTTTTGGACTGAGAACTTCATTATTTATTTTTAAAAGAATAAAATAAAAAGCAGGTGATCTATAGTTTAGCAGACTTCTTCAGGAAAAAAAAATCTATTTTGATTTACGGAAGTGTATTTTTAAAAATCTGGTAATGATTTCCTTTCAAAGCTGTGCTAACACACCATTTGTAAGATGGGAATATAGATTCTTTGCTATCTGTGGCCAAAGTTGTTCACTGCTGCAACATCACAATTGCTCAAGATTAAGAGAAGCCCTGCAGGAGCCCAGCTGCTGTATTCTAATGTGGTAAAGCTTCTCTCAGTCCTGAAAGCTGACCTGCATGCATCCTCAAAAGCAAATGAACATATTCCTGCTCCTAATACCTTTTTATGTGTTTTAAGTGTCAATCTGACCTTTTTGAGTGTCAATCACTTTAATATGCTAATAGGCAGCATTTGGTGCTTTTGACACGTGTAGAATCAGATTCTACTGAGATTTTATAACTGAGATTTTATAACTCTTCAGGCAAAGCCTTAAGTGTAGAAAACAGGTGCTACAAGAAGCCAAGTCACAGAAGAGTATTTGGGAGAAGCTTAGAAAAGAAACAAGAAGAGATGAACTAGGTGCCAGTGACATATCCATGAAATGAAATTAAATGGGAATTAGCTTGAGAGAGAAAAATGGGACCAGTCTCCCTTTGGGAAAAAACCAGCTTAATGTTATAATTTACTCCCTTAATTCCAACAAAAGCTAACTTTGCAACACAACTCAATTCTAACCCTGTGGCTGACAAATGTCTGTCGTTATTACATGAGGAATTTTAATTAGTTATGATTTAACTGATTTGATTAATATGAAATGAAAATTCTCTGGCAAAGACAAAAATAAAATGTAGTTCTCCTGTGTTCCGTCTGACCAACATAGTCATTTTCACTCTTTCTAAAGTCTCATGCCTCAGCCACTACAAAGATCCTGAAGATTCTGAAATACAGTTGATAAAATCCAACAATGAATAGGACTCCTTAACTCTCAAGTCCAACACTAAAATGTAATAAAAAGTAAACAGCACATCTTGAACCTAGATCCTGTATTATAATACGTAAGTATAAAGGGACTGAAGTAGGATTGCCTTAATCCCATTTATTTTGGCATTCCCTAGATTCTGATTGCTTCAAAATTTTAAACTTCAGTGAGATTTTAATGGAAATTCTAATTCAGTTTGATAGATGCTTAATTTTTCTCATTGTGATATAGAATAGTATACTGAGGAGGGTGACTGGTCTTTGGAAAGGAAGAGTAGTCTAGATGAGTATTCTATTAGCAGAATAACAACTTGTCCTTTCATGCAGCTGGAGGAAACTCATATCCCATCTAGATACCAGGAAGCATAATAACCAAAATGGCAGGGAGAAAAACAGTAAATCCACAGAAATAAAAAAATAAATTGTCTGATTACATTTACTTTCAAAAGCTTCCAAATTCCTGGATGTAATCTATGCCTACCTCTCTTGCATAAACATATCAAATAATTTATACTTTCTTTTCAATTCAAAAGTGAGTAACTACTGCTCTGTAGCAGATGTAACTCTTCATTAAGTTTAAGAAAAGATTCAACATTGGGAACAGTTTCTCTAAGGAGCATTATTGTTATTACTACTTCCCAAACATAACAGTTTAATTCCCAAGAAATTCTGCACATATTTCTCATGGTGACTGGAAAGGCAGGATACGATAACGTGTAGATCTGATGGATTCCGCTGACGTGTCTTTTCCAGTTGAGATAATTGCTTGGCTTCTCGGCTCTTTGCTGTTAAAGTTGCTCTAAGATCATCCTGAAAATAAAATGTTTTAGACATGTTTGAAATACATCTAGGATAATACAAAATATACTCTCCTTCATACATGCATTGCCTAGAAAACATGGACAAAACTTCATCTTCAAATAAAACCAGATTTTAGTGACCTGTTAATTGATCCTATCAAAGAGAAGTCTAGTGGGGAATGAGAGAGTTTAGCACCTTGTGCAACTCCCTATAGCACATGTTATGATTGAAAATGTGGGGAAGGAAAGAAAGATATTCACGGCTTTACACAAAAAGTACAGCACATGGTCACAAGCTGAGATCCCCAAAGCGTTAAGAAGGCAGACTTATTCCTGACTTAGTAATAGAATAAATGTGGTACTTAGAAATAAAAAGAAGCATCAAATAAAGTGGCATCATTAAAAAAAACCAAAACAACAAAGCAGGCAGCAGTCAGTACCAAGGAGAAGTTATGAAGAAAATATAACTGCTGTCACTGCTGAAGTGGAGCTGCTGAAGGGGCTGGAGCAGAAGTGTGATGAGAAGTGCTGAGGGAGCTGGGAGTGTTTAGCCCGGAGGAGGCTCAGGGGAACCTGAGCTCTCTACAGCTCCCTGAAAGGAGGCTGTAGCCAGGTGCGGGTCAGTCTCTTCTCCCAGGCAACCAGTGACAGGACGAGGACATATAAGCTGCACCATTTATTTTTAAATGAAATATTAGGAAATTTTTTTCCACAGGAGGGGTGGTCAGGCATTTGAACAGGCTGCCCATGGAAATGATGGAATCACCATTCTGGAAGTGTTCAAAAAAGGTGTCCCTGGCACTCAGGGACATAGTTTACTGGTGAACATGGGGGTGCTGGGCTAATGGTTGGACTCAATGATTACAGAGGTCCTTTTCAACCTAAACAATTCTGTGCTACAAGGCACCATAGGAATTCTATGATTGAAAGGGTTAAACTGCATATTTATATATATGCATTTACTAAAGTGTTTTAAAATCATTTGAAACAAAATACATCCAAGTAATGGTGGAGCTGGAGAAGATAAAACTTAACCAATCCAGAAAAGGCAGAAACTGTTGACAACTGGTTTTGCTCCATTTCCAAAGGAGAAGTAGTACGTACTTCTAGGAAAACCTGTGACAATTTAAGAATGTTCAACTACCAGTTTTCTCAAATTTTCATGCTATAAAACTGTTTTGCAAACTGTTTTGACATTCATGGAATGTAAGATTATCAGTCAAGTATTTATCACTCCACTGATGCTGGTATGGAAAAGGTAATTTTTTTTGATGGTTCCAGTTTAAAGGAGCAGTAGTTTAGAACAAGCAGAAATACAGTCTAAAGTCTAACAAAATCTGAGGTAGGATTGGGCATGCATTTCAAATTACCTTTTACTCTAAAATACCATTTCCACTTTTATTTACTACTCCAGAATGGAGTTAGAACTGTAAGAAATTATCATATTGGGAAGTTGTCTGTGCTCCTTCCTTGGATTTCACAATTTTAATGCTTGTATGTCACCATGACAGAAGGATATGCAACTAAGAATATGTCTTTCAATAAGTTTTGTGATCCTGTGACCAGATCACTACTCAGTGACAAGCACAAGATTGCCAAGTTTCACAGTGCTGTGTGTTCCTTCAATAACGAGGCTGTACATGAGGATAGGGTCAAAACATGCACTTTCTGACTTGTTTCTATCCTTACTGTCTGTATGTCCTTGTACATAACTGTGATTTTGCTTCATCTCCAGGGACACAGAGCTGGCTTCTGATAATAAAAACTACTTCATCTTCAGCCCATGAATGCTGGTTTTACTGCTGTTCTTTCAGAAGGGAATTTACACAACCTCTAAGGTCAAAGACTACTGAAAAGGCCTATTGCTTTTATGAGAGCCATGTGGCTACAAGAAAAGCAATAATAGAAAATTTTAAATTGTTTTTTCCAGTTTTACATTTTAAAGGTAGAGAAAGAGAAAAGAATGTATTTATTTTTGAAAAAACAAAGTTTTCCACCTAATGGTCACAGCTGCATGTTTAATGCTATTTAATGACTGAGCCCCATTAATAGCAGTGACTTCCTACGCACATTTAAAACAGTCAATCAGATTTAACACTGTGGCTTGAAAGGGTGCTGACTTTCACACAAAGTGTACTTGAGGATGCCAAGTTCTGGAGTTACCATTATTAAATTCCGTGTTTTCTTTCTAGCATGGAGTGACTTTGGAAATACCTACAGAGACTGAACTGTTTCCTCCTCTACCCCTGCTTTCTGTAGCAACAGCCACCATGAAACATACTCCTCTTCTAGCTGAAGTGTGACAAAGAATTAGTGCTACTATGGCCACAATGGTGAAGTTGTGTACAAGTTTTGGATGTACAAAAGTAGGGCACAGTCACATAAAAATATCAAAAAGCTGGAGAAGATGTAATTTATGGTGAAAGAATCAAGTTGTACAGAAAAAAAAAAAAAAAAGAAAAATTTGTTTTACTAGCATCTAAATACCTTCATCCAGAAAAAAACCCCAGAACATTACAGAGCTCTTTCATCTCAGTGGAGCATGTAACAAGAACCAAAGATTAGGAGAAGTTTTTCATTTAAAACAAAGCACCACAAACATCAACTAACCACTAACTACCACCAACAGTCCTACATTCACAGTATCTTTAGACCAAGCTTTTGACATGTTTTTGGAAAATATGTTTTAGTTACACTCAAGGAAAAGTGGAATGGAATGGACAATGAGATAAAAGGTACAAAGAATATAAAATTATTCATAGTCTCTCTAGGTTTTAACTATGAATTCAAGTCACACACAGGAACTCTGGTCACCCATCTATTTTCAAATCATACAGAAGTACAGCTATAGTTCATCCACCAGACAATGAGCTGGCAGAGCCTCATCACTGTACTGTTACCTGCTTTAATCACTGAAGTTATTAAAGCAAATCAATCCTTTCTTCTGCATGTGGATCACCTTGGTTTTATGATGTCCTGTTTTACAGGAAGAAAAGGAACCAGGAACAGAGTTGCCAAAAAGCAGAAAAGTGAAGATTGATAAATAGAACAATGAAACAGAAAGAAATCCTCATAGCCTACATTTAAGCTGTGTTACAGGACAAGAAGATTGCTTTGGCTTCCACTGAAGCTATTCAGCATTGTAAACCAGAACAAGTGAATGAAATAATTTTACTGCGTTAGCAGATTAAGGACAACACAACTCTGACTGACCTGGGCTTCTTTAAAGCATTTAGTAGCACATGACATTGATGTCTTACACCACAGACAAAGCAACAGTTATTTTTAGATAAAGCACAAAAAAACTGCTGTGTACTTCCTGGAACAGATCCAGTAAGTAAGCAGCAGTGAGAACATTCTCTTTATAGAAAGTAGTTATAATGACATACTCTGCCTGGTTTTACTTAGTCAGCTAATGTAGTTACAGCTAAAGCAGTCCTAGAACTAGCAGCTTGTGCTAGATTTACATGAGTGACAAAATTTCCTTTGTCACTAAATAAGTCCCAGTGATTACAGATGATAACTGAAGACCAGGTAGGTAAAGTTTTAACCAAGGTTAACATGCAAAGGGAAAAAATAACCATTTAATGGCCTACATCTTTAGTGAACTCTATCTTAGTTCAAAGGTAAACTGGTAAAATTAATGATCTCATCTATGGTTTAAAAATGCTTTTGCATTCCTCACTGTAGCTAAAATCAACATTATGCAAAGCTTTCTGACATTCTGAAAGGCAAAGACCACAGGAAATTCAATTCACTGCTGCAAGCAATGACTTGGTTTCAGTTGCTTCTGTCCTCAGCATTACTGGCTTTCCGTGGCAGTGCACCTCAAGGCAGTCTCTTCAACGCTTTGGCAGCCCCAGGCATTGCTGTAATGTTTTGTGTTTCCTCAGTGACCCCATTGCCACAAACACATGAAACTTGTCTTCCACTCCCAGCACATATACCCTACAAAGTACCCAGTTCTAGATCTCACAAACTGGTGACCATTAAGATACCAGGTATTAGGCACTACAGTCTACAGCTCATGTTTTAGGCACTGCAGTATTAGCTCCCAGCTAAGGATTACTGTGGGTAGTCCCACTCAAGTGTAGAATGCATTTCCTTGACAATTGTTTCTCTAACCACCAAGTGAGGTAACAGCGCAGTAAGTCCCAAACACTACTTGGTTCTTCACCATATGGAAAAAAAAAACAAACCAAAAAAAACATAGGAAAACTGCTTGCTTCAGATGCACTGCCACCATCTACTCAAATTAATCATGATGAACACATTGAAAGATTTTTGTTTTGGTAATTTTGTCAAATACCATCAGAACATAATAATAACTTAAGCTTTTCATTTATATAGATTATGATACAGACACCTACATCAATTACAGATTTGAGTTTGCAGGATTAAGGTATTCTCTGTATAAGATACAAGTATTATGAAAATCTACTTTTAGTATCTGCTTATTAAATTCCTTGCTCAAGCTTATCTTTCCTGGAGGAAAGAAACTTACAGGTATTTTAAGGGACTATTTCAAACCCCTATAAACATTGTTTCAAAAATATAGTGAATGAAGAGACCTCAGATTTTTGTGTATCTTGAGGCCATCATGAGGATTTAACGGAGAGGGATCTAGGCACTGACTACTTATCAGGTTCAAATGTGTTTTCTAAGTTATGAACTTTAATGTAGAACATAATTCTGAGTTAGAAAAGCTGTTAAAGGCAGCATATTGATGACTAAGAGCCAAATCAGTAATAGTAATAATAATAATAATATATTCATAATCAAAATCACACATATAATAAGTGATATTATTTATAAACAAAAAGTCCTGAATTTACACTCTCCAGGGAATTTCATACTAATGCCTTTTCTGAGCATTTGTTTGTGCTCAAAGAGCCTGAATATCCTTGTCTTCACATCAAAGCTCTTTCCTCTAACATATATACAGCTTCAGTTGAGATGTCTAATTATACAATTAATTTACACTGATTAATGAAATATGAAAAATCAGAACAATTTTCCCCATAAACAAAAAGTTTTCAACTGAGTGGCCAGGACACTGAAATGTACCTTGTGAGAAAATACATATTTAACCTACCCTTTTAAGTTTCACTATGGTCCCATAACATTTCAGTGGTTCAACAACCTTGGCTTCCAGCCTGTCAACCTACAAAAAGAAATCACAAGTTGCTAAAATAATCCATATCCATGGTGTGCAGAAATGGGAAACAATTACTTTAACAGTGACTCATCTTATTATGAATTAAATCCATATATGCTGGAAAAATATTAGGATAAGGGTTTTTAAAAATTTTGTAAAAACTACAGTCAAGTATATTAACCAAAAAGGAATTCATTTTCTGAAGAGCTCAAGCTGATTTCTTGTGGAGTTCCTTTTTTGTTAATTAGATCAGGATAAATGAAACATGGAAAATTATGAATACATCAAACTGAGTACTAAATACATCCAGCATTGCATTTTGGAGTTCTGTAGCTTTCTATCTAAAGATCAGTGTATTTGCTCTACACTAATAAGGTTACAGACTAAGCAATCTTTGCTATCTTTGCTATCAAATACACTGTGCAAAATGGAACACTTCTTAATAATAATGGAAACAGCATCACTGGTACTGAGTGCACTAAAAATACCAATAACAGGGTATGTAAAATGCATAAATGCTCTCACAGATGAGTGGTTCTGAATTTTTGTTTCAGAAAAACAGCTACATATGGTCAGACAGGCAATAGGATAAGATCTGCTTGCCAAATCTGACCAAACTGTCTGAGTGGCCCCAGCGTAATCTGCCAATGACTTATGGACCATGAGTGAGTCCTGTGGCCCACTGCTGCTACATCCAGACTAGGACAAGGTGACACCTCTACTGGGAAGGGACAGCTCCCCCTGTACTGGCAGTCACCAGTCAGCCAAAATCTAGGCCAGCTGAGCAAACACCTCTCCTTGATACCATCCACCACTGCACTGTCAAACAATTTCACTGGAAGTGCCAACAGAATAGAAAGGAATAGGCCAGTAAGGCTCTAAACAACACACTTATTACAGACAAACCAAATAACCTGCCCATCTTACTTATTTACCGTACCATGTCCTGTGGTACCCCACACCTCAGTATTTAAATATCTAGCACTGCACCTAAAGACCAGAAATCGTTAATAACCCTTGCAAGAGCTAATTTTCTCTTGCCCACTTTGCCAGCATACAGGAAAACTGTTAAGTGACTTGATGCCCAGAAGAAATAAAGAAATATTTTGTTTTCAGGAGCAAAGGAGAACTTGATTTGAAGACTAAAAGCTTCTCTTTTCCTTTGCCGCTTCTGCCTTTTTTCTTTCACAGGGCAATGTTGGTTTACAGACAGGCATGGCATGAGGATGAAGCCAAATGCCAGTTTTTAAAAAAACATTTAAAATCAACAAAAGCAAAACTCAAGTTGTTACATATGTACCTCAAAATTACAGGTTCACAGTTTAATGATGAAAACAGAGAGATCATGCAGTCTGAGTTTACATTCACCTTTGGCCACAACATAAATGTAATAGCAGAGGATAATTTGCTATTACATCAATTGAAGCATAAAGACCTACATGTGGCTCAGCTGGAGCCAGACATATAAGAGCTTATGGAAAAATAAAAATTGCACACACTCTAAGCTTTCTTATTACTTCTTAAAAATCCCTTCCTCAATAGACTGTTAAAGATACACAATATTCCTTGTATTTCAAACTCTCTGCTTCCCATATTAACTACTTCTCAAAGGTTTTTTTTCCCACTTTGTTATTATGAAGAGGTGATTTGCAATGCTCTCCAAAATAAAAAGGTCCTATCTGAAGACATAGAGAATGTCAACTACTTCAGTTTCTTTTTTGAATCATGGTGGACCTCAGTTGTTCAAAACTATAAATGGGAATTTTCTATGTTCTACTTCAAGAATAGATACATACTCCAAAAACTAGTTTGAGTACATGTGAATGAATGTTTTTAAATCTCAGTATTTGGAATTCTGCATCGTAAGTTACAGTCTGACTGGCACCAACCACACATAAATGTGTAAGTGGCATAAACACCTTTCTTTGCACCCTCACTCATCTAGCAGAAATGTAACTATTTAGTCACACATGGTCCAAATCAAGTTTGTACTTTTAATGTTGAACTACAAACTTATGAAATCTACAGTGGTCCCTGACAGTACCTCTTCAATACTATTTCTGGTAATGCTCAGCAAAAGGAAAATGACTGATTTTGCCTCAGCTGTTGCTAGACAATTCAAGTAACATAACTAAAAAAGAACACTTTATTAACCATAAATCATTATCTAAAGTCTAACACCAATTAAAAAACAAACTTGCTCGTTCCCAAATACATCAAGTGTTCATATGGATAGTTTTCCTGACTTCAGTAGTACTAATTTTAGGCAGTTTTCCCTGAAGTGATTAGGAGTGTAAATGATAAACGTTTTGGCAGCCTACCCTGCTCAGACATTAATATATTTAGATGTGTTTTCTCCTGTTTCTCTTCTGATTGCAGAGTATATGATTTCCCTTTTAATCACAGATAAGTAACTGAAAAGTTCAGATGGCAAACACAACATGTACAGCTTTAATTCTGTACCTCTGCCTGGCGATAATCTTGAAGTCTGGAGAATTCATCTGCAAAGTTTTTCAGTCCAACTTTTAAGTTCGGTGTCTCTGTAGCTGCATATGCATAGATTTCATTTACTAGAAGATCTGCTTTGTCTCGTAGTCTGGCAGTTTTACGTACATATCCAGCAAATATTTGGCACAATTCACCAAAATGTTTTTCCACATTTGAAACAGCATCTTGCATTTGTCTAGTCTGATTGTCCCTGGATACCAAAGAAAAATAAGAAAGGCAGAAATGTTTACAACACATACAGAAGAAAAACTATATAATAATATTCTAATAATTTGGATATCTCATTTCAGAGCAGAAATTTATTCTGAAAAAGAGAATGTTGTAACTGATGTAATATGTGCTTATTTATGAATGAATAACAAACAAACAAAAAAGCAGATTTACACTTAAAGATCCAATAGATGAAAATCCAAATCACAAAAATCTGCTTGGAAGTTTTCTCCTGAATTTAAGCAATAGCTCACTATTACTAATGTTATTAGTTACTAATACAGGGGTAACACCTGCTGTCTCAAATAAGATTTCTGCAAGACCATCCCCCTTCCTGCTATGGCCTGCAATCTAAACAAGCAAGGCAATGGCTGGAGAAATTAGGCAGTAGAGGACAAACTGGTAAAGGTATTAAATGTTCTTTAAATTGCAAACAATTACCAAACTGCGCTACAGAGGATTAAAACCACTGAGAATTAAAGAACAAAGGTGAATGGACACAAGAGGTGAAAACTGTACTACCACTGAAAGGACATTCATCTCAGTAATAAATTATTTTAAACGACCTAAATCTAATTAATTTATTTGATCCAATGCCTGTACACTTTATTATTAATGATTTAGGTAAGTCATTCCAGTAACTCGCAGATTTCACTTTGTATTTTGCTTTCATATTCCTGTATTATTTGATGGTCACGTGAATTCATGCCCACTGTTGATCTGAGTGAATGGCTGTAAGACAATTCAGCTAACAGTACCTGCCAGAAGTCTTAAGAAGTCTCTATGGTCCAACACAAGGTTATTGATGTGAAGTGATAGAATTCTCTGCAAGAGAATTCACTCCTACCACTATCTCAGCAAGGGACAGAAACAAAACCTTTCGTAAGGTATCTCAATACTGCTGAACAATATTTGACTTTGTATCAGGATATATGATGATCAGAAAAAATTGAAGGAATGTGGTACTCTGAGACTAAACAACAATACAATCAATTCAAATGAGGAACACCTTTACTTCAGGAAAAGTATTTCATGCCAAGTTCTGCCAAAACCCAACTACATTGCTTTATGGCAAACTGTCTGAAAGACTGTTCAAAAGAGATTCTGTTAAGGTTAAAAAACCCACGGAAGTTATTCAGTCCTCCAGGACATGCTGGAGCACAGAACTGCTTGAATAAGGACAGTTCCACCTGGTGAGTAGGCAAGTAAATATTTCATTAAGTACTAATAAAGGTGTTTTTCAAAGTTATATTCCCTGACAAGATCTTCAGTAAAAGGTATATATTTCCTATTTTCTTGAAAGATCTTCATGTCAAAAAGTGTTTCCCTCCAGGACGAAGACGTAATCATCCACTTTACAATTCAGATCTCACAGTACATCCATGCAACTAGTATTTAATTCTGGGATGCAAAACACTACGGTTTCTTACGTGGGAGTGTAAAAGTTTTTTATTCCACCCTCATTATCGCGACCGCTTAGAACTGTCCACAGAATTATTCGCGAGAGGTCCAAATAAATATCGGCAGCACATCCTTACTCCATCTCTGCACAGCAAGCTAGGCCTGGAAAAGTTTTGCGGCCTTTACCGGAGGAAGGCAGGGGCGGCCCCATCTCCCAGGGAGGCAGATGCGCTAACAAGGACCGAGCCCGCATCGCTCCCCGACCCGCGCCTCCCCGGGCACGCTGCTGGAAGCGCGGTCTCTCCCCGGCAGCGGCCCGGGCTCCGCGGCCCCCGCGCCCCCGTACCTGGCGTCCAGCCCGCGGCCCAGCAGCATCATGGTGGCGACGGGGCCGGCGGGAAGCAGCGAAGGGGGGCGGCGCTCCGCGTGCGCTCCGTTGCCATGGCCACCCGGCCTGGCCCCGCCCCTCGGCCTGCGGGACGGGCCCGGGCCGGGAGGCGCCGTGGGGGAGCGCAGTCCCCGAAAAGCAGAATCGGTGCAGTTAGAAAGGAGCGCGGAGATCATCGAGTCCAGCCTCTGACCGAACACCACCGTGTCAGCCGGAACATGGCACTGGGTGCCGTGTCCGGCCTTTCCTTAAACACCTCCAGGGACGGTGACCCCACCGCCTCCCTGGGCAGCCCGTTCCAGGGTATAATCACCCTTTGTGTGAAGAAATTCCTCCTTATGTCCAACATAAACCTCCTCTGGCGCAGCTTCAGGCTATGTCTTGTCCTATCCCTTGGTATCCGGTAGAAGAGGCCGAGCCTTGCCTGCCTACAGCCTCCTGTCGGGGAGCTGTCCAGAGCGATAAGGTCCCCATGAGCTCCTGTTCTCCGGGCCAAACGCCTCCGGCTCCCTCAGCCGCCCCTCACAGGACTTGTGCTCCAGCCCCTCTACCAGCTCCGCTGCCCTTCTCTGGACACGCTCCAGCCCCTCAACGTCCTTCTTGTAGTGAGGGGCCCAGAACTGGACACAGCACTCGAGGTGTGGCCTCACCATTGCCGAGTACAGAGGGATAATCCCTGCCCTGGTCCTGCTGGCCACACTATTGCTGATATAGACCAGGATGTCATTGGCCTTCTTGGCCACCTAAGCACACACTGGCTCATGCTCAGCCACTGGCAAGCAGCCCCCAGGTCCATTGCCACGGGGCAGCTTTTCAGCCCCTCTTCCCCCAGCCTGTAGCACTGCAGGGCATTGTTGTGACCTAATGCAGGACCTGGCATTTTGCCTTGTTGAACCTCACACAGTCTTGGCCCATTGATCAGCCTGTCCAGGTCCCTCTGCAGATCCTTTCAACACTCCTGCCCAGCTTGCTGTCACCCACAAATTTATTAAGGATGCATTTGATTCCCTCATCCCAGTCATCATTACAGATACTGACTAGGACTGGGACCAACATTGATCCCTGGGGGCGGCAAGCAGTGACTGGTGCTCCCCACACATGAGCCTGCCCAAGGGCAGGGGCAGGGTCTGTTCAAGGACAAGCACAGTGTCAAGGCCTGGGCTGGTACAGGAGCAGAAAGCCAGAAAGGTCAAACCTCTCCCATTACCCCCAAAAAAAAAATTCAAAAAGGCCAACTTCTTTTAACCTAAGGGAGAACTGTTGAGGTTGGGCAGCCATGGGAAAAATCCCATGGAGCACCAGAAAAGATCCTGAAAAAAAAGAACAAAACAAAACCAAATTAAACTGAAAACATAAAAAAAACCCCAAAAAACCCTAGCCCCCCTCTCTGTAGTGGTAATGTACTGGGAATGTGGCTTCAGGATTGTGTGGCCATGATCCTGTCAGAGTCCCTGCACATGCTGTTCATGGGACTAATGCAGAAAAGACTTAAAGGAGGAGAGAGGGAATTGTGCTGTGTCCAACACAAACCCACCTGATGTTATAGTGGTCCATGAGAGCTAAGGACTCGGACAACTTGGCAGCATGCTGGCACAGAGATACATGACAAAACTTCATGCAGATAACTAATTTCCAACTAAAACCAATGGCCAAAAGTAATGAACAAGTTGAGTAATGGTGATGCTCCCATGGCATTTAGCAGGTTACAGGTTTGGTGTACCCCTTGGGACTATGTTACTACACAAAATTGTACAGGTGCACACACACACACACATGCACACACACACACACACACACACACACACACACACACACACACACAAAGAGGCCTCTCACTCAAGGGTACCCAGAAGATCTAAGGATCAAAGGATCACTCAGGGATATCCAGTCTGAAAATAGTCACTGCTGTGGGAGAGAGTGGTGAGGGGCACTCCGACCAGGGAAGTCTCTTTGGATGGAGGTCATGGTGCAGAAATGTCTCTGCCCTGTTGGCTGGGGACCCTGTTCATGGACCAAGGGGTTCTGCCTCTTCCTATTCCCACCTTGGGTCGTGAAAAGTTGGTTGTCCCCATGTGTCAGCCAGGGGATGTCACACATGTATGAAAAAAACTTTATAAGCTTGCATGAGCATGCAAATAGAAATTGATTTACTTAAAACTTGTTTTTTAACTTTTCATCTTGGTTTTCTCTTGAAAGTAGATCATTCAGATCACTTCAATAAAAACTTCAATTCCATGCAGCAAAATATTCTTCAAATAATGAGGTACTAATTAGTGGTTTGGATCAACTTAAGCTAAAACAAAATGTTGCAATTTTTCTTAAGGCAAGTTTGTGAAACCAGTGGTAAAACTCACTCCAAAAGTTTGCAGCCTTTAAGGACTTAGTAGGCTAATATGTCTAAATGGAAGATGTCTTTCAGAGGATGCAAGGATGAGAGGGCAGCTGTTACCTGGAAGTCTTAATTTCTCAACTGCAGGCCTGAGAGGAGAGGCTTCAATGTTTATTGTTGAATCTACCCCCTATTGATCTAATAGTAATAATAATCTAATAAATCAGCGAAATGACCTAGCAAATGATGATGTCACTATTATTACTGTGCAATCCTGTAGTTCCCCACATGTAGCAAGATCCAAGTTTATCAGTCTTGGATCTTGTTCATTACACACAACTACTACTCAATTACAACTCTATCACCCCTCTCTTGACTGCGCCACACTGCTTGTTATCAAGCTGCAGTACAATCCGTCTCTGGATGGATTCCCAAATTCTCCTTCAGTTATGTAGTTTTTACAGTCTGTGTGCTGTTTATGTGGCACACTTTCTGAGACATACCATTCCATTTTATTCCTTCCTTCACCTATCTCCATTTACATCTAAGCACTTTTTCCTATATGCAGACAATTGACATACCAGAGCAAGGCTTATCCTCTTAATTTATTTTTTCCTCACTGTTTTTGTCCTCAGAAAGCATCCTGCTCTCAAGTGCCTAATTACAAGTCATTGCCCTTGTCTTTGGACAATCTCCTGGTCTCCTGAGGTAGTCTTGTCTTGTCTTTGGACAATCTCCTGGTCTCCTGAGGTAGTCTTGTCTCTTCACAAGGACCTATACTCCAGCAGAACCTTCCACTCACAAATTTGAAGAGCTCTAAAAGTTGAAAACATCTATTCTACTACTGAGGGCATGTTTGGACTTCATTACCCAGGAGTGATCAAGCAAAGCAAGTTCCAGAATACCCAGAAATTCTTAATAAACAGCAGAATGGTGCTATATGAGGTACTGTACAAATGGTAAAAAGAAGTACAAGTCTATTTGCTTCAAATTATGAAGCAAATAGACTTGGTCAATGAGAAACAGAAACTGCCACTTAATGAGAGGCTAAAAGATTGAAAATAAGGAAAAGTTACTTGTGATTGAAGTTCAAGAAGTACTTGTCATTGGAGTAAGACATGAAAGAGGAATCACAGCTCATCTTCAGTTATTGCAAACAAATTCTGCTTCAGTCCTGAAAAATGGTACTTGGCATAGATATTAAAAAACCTGATTTATATATGCTGATTTCACACATGGTTTGACTTAATAGTTCTTAATATGATGCTGTAGATAGTCCTGGAATATATGGCCCACCAGCTCCAGCTGCACATAGAAAGTTGAAAATAATGTCATGAGGGCCTGTTGAAATTTTGAGTCATCAGAGTGTACAAGAGCACAAGCTGCATAAATCACGGAGTGGAAAAATATTTTTGTACGATGATTTAGAAATAATTACAGAGAATTATGTTGAAAGCAATGCCAAATTTCCTTCTCATTACCTCTAAGTAAGTTTCCAGAATAACATACTAAAGATGATGACATCTTATAAATGACAAATTCTGCAGATAAGAAAGCTCTGAAATATCCAGTTGACAGTGTTTTCCAATATTTCTCCAGAGGATAAGCAACAGACTCCTCCTGACTTAAATCAGCTTGAGTAAATTCTCTGTACTGGTTTATTGAACAACAGTATGTAACTCCAGCAGTGTTCAGCAGCAGTGAAGAATTGCCTGTCATTACTGCGTAGAAAAAACAAGATATGTATAAGTCTGTGGAAACTTCAGAAACATTAATTGGGATAGAATTTCTTCCATCATATTTAGGGAATGCCTTAACCATTAGTAAGGTAAAGCCATATTTCTGGTTTGGAATTTAATCAATGAATGTGTACTAGATATATGTAAAATACCAACAGAATGCTGGTCAACTTTTGTTTTTGCTAACTGATGTTCATTTATATGGTGTAGTAATTACATAGGGATCCATCGAGGTCCGGAGGTTCATCTGTGCACTGTGGTTGATTAAGTCTGTATGTATTGATGAGCTGCCTGTATATTCATGTTACTACTTCTTTTCTCACAGTGTGTTCATAACTTTAGAATATTTTTTTGCAATCTTTAAACTCTTTATATAACGTTCCATTTTCCTGTTTGCCTATGCTATCAATTCGCATTATATGTATGGAAAGTCAATCACTGTAGACCTTGAATGTCAAACAACATTATTTTGGCAGAGAAGTTTAGCTCCTGGTAGATTTGACATTATATAGATTTAATAATTTCAAGTGGTTTCTCCTTCTGTAACTGTTTTCCTCTTTGTGCTATTTCACTTCTTTGAAATAGCTCCTTTACTTGATGCAGGAACTAGACCACCTCTTATTCCTAGCTCTGTGTTTTCTCAGGAACAAGAGGCAGCTTCTGGGAAACATCCTTTTCTGATGCACAAGCTTCCAATACCAAGTTTCAGATATCTTAATTAAAAATCAGTTAGTTTGTTAGAGGAAAAGTTGTCACCATAATTAGAAAAGCAGTAAAACATTGTTTCCTCAGGCTAATACCCGCAGGCCGGTGTAACCTTCTGTCATCCATTTTGTCAGTGTTGGTGAAAGCATAGCAACCTCTTGATGATTTATGCATTTGCCTGTTGTTTTCTTACTTCTGCAAAAGAGCTTTAGCTGCTGTCAGAGGCAGGATGCTGGGCTAGCAGGGTCTTTGTTCAGCATAGGCACTCTTGTTTTGAAGGTGTTATTT